AGTCTTCCACAGTCTGTGCCACTGCCAGACAGAGGAACCTAAGCTAGACAGAACACTGGTCTGGCTCAGTTTGGCGTCAATTAGGTTCTAAGGAATGAGGAAGCTGTTATAATAGTCCACACTGGCCATATTCCACTACCCCAACAATCTTCTTGTTGGTTGTTGCTAGGAACAGGTTCGGAACAGAGGGTGTATCTTGGTCAGAGATCACAGGGATTGGTAAGGGAAGAGAAGAACCAGTTGGACTTTTAGAGAGAAAGAGGCCCAAAGCCAGAATATGTATTTTGATTTACTCTGGATAATCAATAAACCTTTGTTGTTTTCACATGTTTGCTTGGGCATGGAACAAGCTCAGTTGTCAAAGATACAAAATACATTTAAACATTTAGCTCTAAATCTATGATCCAGTGCTTTAGCACAGTGCCTGGCACATAGTAGGTGCTTAATACATGTCTACTGATGGATTGATTATTGATTGATCCCATGATTTGTGAGAGGTCCTAGTCTCTGAAATGGAGGAATTATGACATGAGTGACTAATACTGACTTCTACAGAAATCATAAACAACAAATAGTGCTTACTCCAAAATCAACGAAGACGGGAAATTTGTTTCACTTTTTATCAACTCTAAATTACTGTCACCAAGTAAAGCCCTTTTCTTAATAAGAACCTAAAGACCTAAGGAGCCAAGGGCATCACTCAATAGACTTCTGGCCATATGAAACACTAATCATTAATTAAACATTAATCATAATGAAAAACTGAATTTTTTTGAGAAAGTATAACACATAATCAGTAAGAAGAAGGCAGGTGCAGAAGCAGAATAATAAAAGATATAGCTAAGACAAAAGAATTTAATTCATCTCAGATTGGGAATTCTCCTGCAAAATGGAAATAGTTGGGGGAAAGTTTAAGGAATAAAATGGCAGTTACTGTATGTGTATATGACCAGGATATCTGGCATGATTCACATGACACAGGCTTAGTCTGGTCTCTGGACCTTAATTTCTTCATTTAAAAACGAAGGCATTTTAAGTTGGAGGAAGAGGAAGAGGAAGGCAACAGATGTTAGCAGTAGCCCTAACAGACATAAGCTACTCTCCCATTTTGATGTTCTGGCAGGGTCTAACTAACAACAAGGGCAGCCAGGTGGTGCAGTGGATAGAGCACTGGGCTTGGAATTAGCAAGACTCATTTTCATGAGTTCAAATCTGGTTTACTAACTGTGTGACTCTGGGCAAGTCACTTAACCCTGTTTGCCTCAGTTACTCGTCTGTAAAATGAACTAGAGAAGGAAATGGTGAAACACGCCAGTATCTTTGCCAAGGAAAACCCCGAATTGGGGTCACAAAGAGTCAGACATGACTGAAACAACTCAAGAAATCCAAGAAGAAAAAGAATTTTTTTTACCGGTAGCCCTAAACTAGCCCTTTAAAAATTCACTGTGACTATTAAGCTGAATGTGCTGTAAGAATAAAGGGGAGACCTCCATGGTGACTCTGGGGAGCCTACTTGTGTAGGATTCCCTGTGTCTGCATTTCCCTGTACTATGTGTCTTCAGGCAAAGTCTTGTACATTGTGGGCACAAGACAGACCAAAGCATGGGGCAATAATGATTCTGTGTAACAAGGTCAATGGCTGCAATGTCTTATCAAGGCTTTCTAAACCTGTCCCTATTCTCTTCGTTGTGCCAGTGTCAGAGGTAACGAACCCTGGCAACAGAGGTGCTGAACACAGAGACACTAGATCAGTCATGTCAAACTCCAATAGAAAAGGAGACCACTCAACTCTATATAAGGATTTCTGTGGGCAGCATATTCACTTAGAAAACCCTATCAGGAGAAACCCAGTTCTATCCCTAATTACATTTTAATCTGGCTCCTGCCACATGTGGAAGTGCTGAGGACATGTAGATAAGAGGATCTCCTGGGTTTCTTCTCTAGTTCTGACTTTCTATATGGATACTGAAGAGATGCTTTTTTAAAAAATGCTAACAACGATCTCTTCTGCACTTTATATGACAATTTTAAATAATGAAAAAAATTGACATGCTTTTAAAAGGAAAGGAAAAAAATTCCTCAAAAATTCTGTTTTTGAAAAAATGATTACCTGATTTACATTCTGCTGATGATTTTGTTAGATTTGCATTTTGACTGCAGGTTAGGGTGACTGGGGTAATTTGGGGTGAGGATTGCTCCTAGGATGTCCACTCTAACCTTCTGGGGCACTTGGCCTAGAGAATTCCAAGGAAGACAAACTCTACCAGGTCACCTTCACAACCACGGGGCCCCATCTCAACCTTGGAACCCATGGCCCTTCAAGAGAGCCAAGAAACAACTGGACTCTAAGATCAATCCTCGGCTTCTCAGGCCAGTCTAGAATAGGTTAAATCTTTCATTTCCTCACTACCAATATTCCCCTCATCATCTTCTTGCCCCACAACCTACATCCCAAGAAGACAGCTGAGCATTTGGTCAGGTTCTGGGATGCATGAGGGCTTGGCACAAGGAACAGTATGCCCTTAGATTTCACTGATATGTTCCCAAATGACAGCTTACTGTGACAGTCAGCCCTATTAAGTGAGTGCAGTTAAAATTCGAAGCACAGGTAAACCGTCTATAGAAAATTGCCCAGAATAATAACTCATATTTATATTGTATCTTATGGCTTACGCAGCCCTTTGAGATAGGTAGTGTTAGTATTATTATACACATTCTATATGGAAGGGAACTAAGTCTCACAACTACTCCCTGTGTCTGCATTTCCCTGTACTAATGCTAAGCAGAAGAGGTGAGACCTGAGCCCTCATCCCCCGGCTCCAGTTCCAGAACTCCTTTCATGACATCACACTACCTCTCCATAGGTTAAAATCAATTCTCCTCCATCCACCAGAAGATTCTTAATAATTTTTTTTTCAAATTTCTAGTCACACATAGAGAAAAGGCAAACTATTCCATTAGATCTCTGTTATCATAAAGAAGATTGATTTTATATCCACATGAAAAAACGATGAACTCTGAATGCAGATTGTTGCATATTTTTTCATTTACTTTATTCTTTCTCATGTTTTTTTTTTCCTTTTGACCGGTTTCTTCTTTCACAACTGTAACTGACATGGAAATATTTTTACATGATAGAACATGTACAAACTATATCAAACTGCCTACCCTTTTCAGAAGAGGGGAGGGGTGTGAAGGAGGGAGAAAAATTTGGAATTCAAAACATTGTAAAAATGAATGCTAAAAATTTTCTTGACATATAACTAGGGAAAAAATAAAATACTATTAAAAAAAGATTGATTTTCACTCTATTCTTTCAACAAGGATTTAGTGAGTACATCTCAGCAGCTGCATGAGATGCCCTTTAAAGGCAAACTAATGAAACTAGTCTCAGGGAAGATGTCAACCAGTAGAAGGTGAGATGCCATTCTACCACATAGAAAGTACCTATCAGTAAAAGTAGAGAGAAGGAACCAGCTCTCCTTCAGGTTGATCCCAGGTGTCATCTCAAAGTTCTACTCCCAAAACACTGGAGTATAAGGGAGGTGGATGAAGAAGATGACCAACTTCTAGATTCCCAAGTCAGGACATTTATGATATGATTGTATTATTTAAGTTTGCGTGTGTGTGTGCGTGCGCGCGCGCGCGTGAATTCCCAGATCACTGAAAGGATAGTAAGACGATAATTCACATTTTACCTTGGAAAACTGAATTTCTTCATTGAACATATCTCACATAATTAAAGAAAAGAGTCTAACTATAATCTATCCCTACCCCTAGGTTAGAACTAAAAATTCAGCTTTTTAAGCTGAGATCAAGAATCTTTTGTAAGCTCCTAAAGCTTTATCAGTCGGCCACCCAGTCAATGAACAAGTATTTACAGAGCATTTATGATATTTACAATACTATACTAGACACCATGGAAGAAATCCCTGTCTTCAAGATGGTATTCAAGTTATTTAGAGTCTTCTTGGGCATAACATTAACACATGTGAAAAAAAAATTTGAAAGTATAATAAGACATTGTACGATTAAGTCTAATACTATGCAGTATAGAAGTGTTAACAACAGTTAAGCAAATGCCGAAGAGAGCCACAGACTCAAGTAGTCAAAGAGGGCTTTCTGGAAGAGACCGAACTTGAAATGAGCTTTGAAAGACAAAGACGGCAAGGGGGGAACATAGAGAGCATTCCAAGCAGGGGAAACAGCATGAGCAAGGAAGCAGAGGGGAAAATGAGCAAGGAGTAAGTGGAGACAGCAAGGAGAGCAGACCCACCTGAGCAGAAGCAAGGGAGTAGTTAAGAAACAAACCTGCATGGACAGCGCAGCTTTAGGTCACAAAAAACCTTGAAAGCTAGGCAGAGGAGTTTAGGACTAATGTGGTTGGCAATCGGAGAAAAACCTCTATGATCTCAAGCAGAGGGATGATATGACGCAAGCAGTGTTTTTGGAGGCAAGGTCACAAGACGGAGAGACCAGAGTCAGGGAAAGCAGTCAGGAGGATGCTGCAGTGACATCCAGGCATGAGATGATGAGAGTCTGGATTACGGTGATGGCGACAGGAATGGAGAATAACAAATCTGAGACATGTTTGAAGGAAACAAACGAATCTGATGGCAGGTGAGATCTAAGGGATGAAGAATCAAAGATGACACCAAGGTTTCTAGCATGGGAAACTAAAAGAAAAAATGGTGGTACCATGAACAAAAATGTTGGAGTTTGGAAGGAGGGTTAGATAGGGAGGAGATAATGAATTTGGATTTGAAAGTGGAGAATTTCAAGCGATGGCATGCCATCCAAATGGAAATTGCTTTGAAGGCAGCTAGAGATGCACGACTGGAGCAGAACTGAAAGGTCAGGGATATAGATGCAGATACAGACTTGGATTTATAACTGGTCTTACTTCTGGAGGAAATAAAACTTTCATATACTTACGCCCACTAAAAAAAAAAGTTATTTCTTAGACTGTGACTAAATACTAGACTCCAGCATAAAAGTACCTGCACTCTTTCCATTTCTGGAAGATATCAAACTCCATTGCCTCAGTCTGATTTGGAATAAATCGGAACTCAGACACCAGTTCAGGCGTGTGCTCCGGAAGTTCACACTCCCCAAGTTCCGCTGTAATTTTTCAAAGGGAAGAAAAAAAAAAAGAAGAAAGAGAGAGATAATATTTAACAAGTTCAGTTACTACAATGACAAACTCCAAAGATACTATATGCGATTAAATCTGCTGGGTGCCTTTTTAAAATATTACATAATAGGGGGTGGCTAGGTGGTGCCGTAGATAGAGCACCAGCCCTGGACTCAGGAGGACCTGAGTTCAAATCCAGCCTCAGACACATAACACTTACTAGCTGTGTGACCCTGGGCAAATCACTTAACCCCCATTGCCCAAACCAAAAAAAAAAAAAAACAAAAACAAAAACAAAAAAAATATTACATAACCTCACTGGGATAAAATTTAATTTATGAGCTTCACAAATAGCTGCATGGAAACACATACATACCTTAAAATCCACAGTAAAGGATGTACATTGTTCTGGCTTTCTCTTTTTATCAACTTGAAATTGTTACCAGGCGTGCGAACGCACACACACACACAATTCCCCCCCCCCAAATTCTATACCATACAAATTCACCCTGGATTACATTTTATCTTAGCAGGGGCAAAGTAATATTATAAAAACAAAAAACAAAAACAAAAACAAAAAACACTGAACTTGAAATCGGAAGACTTGGGTTCAAGTCCTATCTTTGCCACTCATTACCTGGGTAACCTTGGGCGAGTCACTTGACCTCTATGAGATTCAGTTTTCTTCATGTGTAAAATAAGGATTTTAATATACTGCTACCTTGGCTGGGTTGATTTGAGAATAAAGTGAGACAGAAAGTAGTATAGAAATTCAAAGTCATTATATTCAGGTCAAGGTACATTATTAGCATTCAACTGAAATGCCAACTGCTCACTAATATAAATTGAAAATGTTAAATATGGGACAGGGCCAGGATTTCTGCTTAGAGTCCTATTAAAAATTGGTAAAGAATTTGGTGCATTTAGAAACTGAAAGAAAAAATAAATGTCATGGCAGGCTGTGGAGCGGGAGAGAAGGCCAGTGACAGTCTGTAGGAGTTGCTGCAGTAACTAAGGCAGATGGCCTGGGAGTGGATGAAGCACAGCATGGGGTGATAATGGGTCATGCAGCACCTGGAGGAGAAAGGAGGAGGGATCACTGCAAGAACAGAAGCCACAGGCACAAACCTGTGGGAGTGGGGAGAGGCAAAGCTCTGCACTGAATCTACTTGGCTCCAGTGGAAGAGGGGGGTGAGTATCAGCAACCAGTTACAAATGGAAACCTAGAAGCAAAAAGCGATCAGGAAGAAGCTGAAAAACAGGACAAGCAGCAGACGGTAGGCTTGAAAAGCTAGCTAAGGCTGGGGAGGGGACTGGGATTATTTTGTTTATTCTGTCTCCCTTTGAAGGTTACAGGAGGGGAAGAGAACTAGAGGAAGAAAGAATAATGCCTATGCAGCTTTGGAGGGGTGAGGAAGACAATGGGCCTCTTAACAGAGAAGAGCTCTTAGGAAGACTGATTCAAAAGGGAGGAGAGCAACAGAAGGCCAGGTAGGAGGGTCTCTGTTTATTGTTTTAATCAGGATAAATAATCCAAGGAACACAGCTGTGATAATCTATTATCTCTTGAAATAAGGAGTGTGTTATAAACTGTGGCTAAGGAAAAAAACTGGGTTATTTATTCATTTGTTGTTGAAAATATAAGAGAAGAAAAAGGGTTAGGATGGTAGAACAACCTCAAGGTGATTCTATGAAGCAGGCCACGGGTGGATTCCCCTGTATATTCTTTTCAGGAATGAAACAGGAGATAAGAGGGACTTTGTGATTTGATACATAAGACTCTGTGTTGTGTTAACAATCCTAACAAGCATAGTAGACCATTTAGGGGAGTGGCTTGTGGGTATAATACTACTGGAATAGGAGGAAGTTAAACCCGCTGCCAGTTACCTTTTGCTTAAAGACAGAGGATGATTAGAGTTGGTGTTAAGTACAGTGGAGACCAGAGCACGCTCATGGATGGACCCATGGGGCGCCATCCCACAAAGCAGGTGTTATGAGTCTGCACCATAGCCACTTCCAACAGGCAATGCTGGCTTAGTAACGAAAGACTTCTGCTTTGAAACGACAAAGAAATCCCTTCCCTTGACTTGGCATCTGGGATGATGGGAGCCATCCCAGGTTACAAACATAGGGATGACTCCATGTTCTGGGTCCTTGCTAAAGGAATAAATGACCAGAATGGCTAGTCCCTTAGTCCCTGTGACATGGATGGCTACATCAAAGATGAAGGATGCTGGCTGATTTAAATTTTTTATCCTCTCCAGCCCAGCCTCCTAGGTTGGCCATGAACCCCTCAAGTGTGGTTGTTAGAAGGGCCTCATCTAATTAATGTTATGCTTGCCCATCTTGAGATAAGAGGAATCAACTGAGTCTGGAAGAGCCCCCCCTCCCCTTTATGTAGTGAACTACATAAAGGGGCTAGGAGGAAAGCTCCTCCCTCTTTCCAAGGTGGCCTCTTTGTTGGGACACAGCCAACTCTCTGTCAGATTTCCAGTTGTTATGTTTGTCCTTTGTTATCAAAGAGGACCATGACATCAGAGGGAGATATCATGACTTGCGAGTGAACTGGATTTATGTAAAGGAGGGCTGTGCAAAGTCACCAGCCTCACTTTCTCCTGCAGAGCCATCTGGGTCCAGTGGCCAGATATAAATCAGGACCACTGGAGAAGGTCCCCCCCAGACTTCTGGTAGTTGGAGAGGGGATCTTTTTCCCCTCTTGTTTCTTTCCATGGTCACAGCTGACCTAATAATGACCCTCACATGGATGTGTCAAGCTTTGGCAGCTCAAGAAGTCAGGAATTCCTCAGTGCTAACTTGCCACAGGGAATGCTTCTGACTTCTTGAGTTCATGGGGCCAAGGCTAGAAATATCCGCCTCAGGCTCACTGGTCAGCCACCTGTATTCAGACTAAGGACTTGGGATCCAGTCAGGCAAGAACAAGTTCTCACTACCATGTTTGTCTGTCTGCCTCAGTCTCCTCAACTGTGAAATAGCACCCACATCACAGGGCTGTTGTGAAGATAAAATGATTGTAAAGCATCTAGCATAGTGCCTGGATTATAGTAGGTCCTTAAATTCCCATTCACTTTTCTTCCCCATCTCATGTATGCACAGTCACCATTGCTGCCGGGGGGGGGGGGGGGGGTATAGAGAAAGGTCCCCTCATCAACTACTAGAGGTCTGAGGGAGAGATGGCATTGGCTGTTACCTAACAAAAGGGCCACCTTGAAAAGAAGGAGGAGCTCTTCTCCCCACTCCCTCAACTAGCCTAATGAGTAATTTAGCCTATTAGCCCACTTAAAAGGGGTGTTTTTTCCAGATTCAAATGCCAACCATCTTTGACACAACCACCCCTAGCCACAGGCACAAAAGGACCTATCAGGAGCTCATCATGCAGATCATTTTGTAAGAGCCCAGAACACGGGCCCATCCCCATGCATGTTCCCTGAGACGGTTCCCATCATCCCTCAGCAGTCCAGGGGTGGGGAGCCTTCGGTCTCAAGGCCACATGTGGCCTTCTAGGTCCTTGGATGCGGGCTTTTGACTGAGTCCAAGTTTTACAGAACAAATTCTTTTATTAAGGGGACTTGTTCTGTGAAGTTTGGATTCAGTCCAAGGGCCACATTAGATGGCCTCATGTGGCCTTGAGGCTGCAGGTTCCCCACCCCTGGACTAGTCCTTGAGGAAAGCTGGCTCATTTTAAAGCCAGTGCTGAGCCAGAGCACACAGGGCCCACTGGAAGGGAAACAGCACGCATGCCCATCCCCACACATGGACTAAAGGATATCCCCACATATGTGAGAAACAGCCAAATACTTGTATCTCACTTTGGAATTAATGAAACAGAAGGGCAAAGAAAAGGACACCAAGAGGTCCATTCTAGAAAGATCTGATCATTCAGAAGAATGAAAAATACAAGAATTCCAAAAACATTGATTTTAATTCAAAGGGGCATAAAAAGAGAAAAAAATCAAAGTAGTAGGAAAAGAGGAAATTCAAAGAATGCCTTGAAATTATCATTTTGAAGATACTAATTAAGGCTCCTGGGTCATAAGATTGAACCTCTTATCTCAAGATGGGCTGAGCATACCATTAATTGGATGAGGCCCTCCTAACAATCTGAGGAGAGGAGTCTGGGTCCAACCTGAGAGGCTGGAGTTGAGAAGATAAAAATTTTAAACCAGTCAGCATCTTCTTCCTCTTCTAAGTTATCCAGGGTCATGGGGTTGCCTTGGTTTGAATGCCTTTCTAGTACCCTAGCTGCTTCTTCCTCAAATGGGTCAAGGATGCCCCAGGGAGGCACAGAGTTAAGTCCTTCTTGTGTCTACTCGACCAGATGTCAATTCCCCTTGTTCTGTGTCGTCATTGCGCCATGGATGAGGCATTTTTTTCTGGCAATGACTCAAGTTCAAACACCAGAGGTACTGTAGCTTTTGAACTTGATCTTTAAAAGCAGCTACACACAGACTTGGAGAGTTGGAAAGAGAAGGATCCATGCACAGACACCAATTCAGTTTCTCAGAGAGGACTGCACATATGTGGACCCTCCAGGGAACTATCCCCATCAAGGAATCATACTGAAATTGAGATACAGAAGAAGAAAAGTAGGAGTCATTAGAGATAGGAAGAGGAAAAACCAGCATTGTATGGAGCTCAACCATAGGCAGCAAACAGATACCTTAACCTTCAGTGGGGCCCCATCTGGGGCAGTACTGTATATCACTTGGACTATGTAGGTATGTGAGGAGTATTCACACTGAAGGGCGGCAGGGGTGGTAAGGTATTGCATGATTCCTTAGCAACTTCTCAGTTCCTTCCCCTTGGGGAATGGGCTCCTCCAAAGTAGTACTGCAAATCAGGAGGACTGTGTAGGTTCCTAGGGAGATGAAGGCTCAAAAAAGGGAAATTTTCTAGATTCCTTGGTAACTTTAAATTCTTTCCCCTTCCAGGGAGGCCCCACTCAGATTAGCTTACTTTAAGTCAGGAG